TGAGGACGAGGAATTGACAAAAGAAACTCCAAGCTATCTTCCGTTATGATAAGCGAATTGGGAGAAACCGTTGTATTTCAGATACAAGTCGTGTTGTCAACAAATCCTTGGATCTTGTAACATCAAACAATTCAAAACCTTCTCGAGTTGTTTTAGTTCAAGTTAGATATCTGAAGATCTTGGGTACCATCTTCATTTGGTTTAGGATACAATAATCCAGTTCCGTTTAGACGATGCTCACATGGTCTAAAGCTCACCAAAACCTTTTTGAAAGCGCAAGTGAGTTGATCAAATTTACATTGGGTCTTCTTTTCTCTAGAGTTGTCAGAGCAGTTAAAGGTAGAATGAGACTTCAAGAGGATCAAAGGACGAGTGATAGGTTCCATGCTTCTCAAAAAGATGGGTGTAGAAGATGAGAAGGACATTGGTTGAGTCCATTAACCATTTCGATTTGATAGGTGTTCGAAAAGTATGTAAGGAGGTACACCACCGGGGGCCTCCAGGTCGCAATTTGATCCTGGCCAGTCGTTGACTGGTCGGGTCAAGACCTGGCCCTGCATCCGGCCTGTGGGCGTGTTCACGCCCGCAACCCCTCGCCCCCAGAGGCAGCATGAAAGCTGCCTCTTATGCGTCCCCCAGGCGGCAGCTCGCTGGCCTCTTCCGAGACTTGGACAGCCTACAGGCCGACTGAGTCTCGTTGATGCTGAGCCCAGTGCTCAGCCGAGCGAGACTCATCTGCAAACAGAAAAGTACATCAGAACGGCCGCGGCCCTTCTCATGAGGGCCAACGTCGTTCTTCGTGAGAGCACGTGTCAGAAAACGGCATAAAACAGAACAATTTGGCACCACCAAATTGTTGTAATGGCAACTCCGAAGTTCGGACTTCGAGATCCTTCCGAAACAAACAGGTTTTGCATTGTCCATGATCACTCACCTTGAGGGGACACCTTCGTAAAAGTCTGAATCTCACCACCCACTCCCACTCGCCCTCGCCACCCACCGACACAATGGCAGTGCCCATTGGTACGATCCGAGACCAATGTGAGTTCGGTTTCCCTCAAGATCAGTCACTGGCGTTCACAGGAGCCTCACTCTGCGACTCTGCGGCTTAGATTTTGAGTCCCTCTCGGCGGACCCGTCCAACCCACGCTGGAAGTGCGTTCTCTGCGGCAGGCGTACCATGGCATACTACGGCAACCACATGAACACCCCTAAACACCGTCAAGCTGTTGCTCGATTTGAAGCCCAACAGGCCTCTGCTAATCTACCACTCCCCGGCCTCAACCCGGACCCTCCGCCCTCACCTGGTCGCCAAACAGGAATCACCGAGGACAACCCAGTTCGCAGCGAGACACCGGAAATAGAGGAGGAGGGTGAGCGGCCTCCTTCGCCACTCACCTTCCTCCGCGCGCTCAAGATCGCAGACGATAGCGATTTGGGTATGTCCGAGCTTGACATCGACCTTCCCAAACTGGCTGAAGCTCTCACCGCCATGGAGGACGAAGATGCCAACGACCAAATGGACGAAGCTGAATTGGAAGAAGAATTAAAGAGCTGTCCTGTCACGGATGATGTTGAATGGTATCCTTTCAAGAAGAAAGAAGTGTGTTGCCATAATGAAATCATTTTGCCTATATGTGTAGCTGATAAGTATTTATTTGCTTCAGCACTTGGTCGCTTTGTTGCTCATCGGGTCAACGAGAAGTATACTGTCGCGTTCGCAATATCATCGCATCCGTTCCATATTACGGATTTGTGAAGTGAAACTCCCCGAATGGGGTGCATTACGAGCGTTGGCAACCCGCCTCAAGAAAAAGCTTGGCCTGGTTGTGAGTGAACGACGAAGCCCGTCGGGAACACCCCTCTTTGGCTTGAAAGTTCAGACAATCATAAGCAATGTTTGTGAAATTCTACCAAGAAACCATGTATATGCACAAATTGAACTGATTTCAATCACCTTCGCTTTGCTCGCTTGGCCTCTTCTTTTGATCAGGAGCTCGCCAACCCGCTGGTCAGCCCACATCTGATCACTTTGCCGGAACTGCCAAAAAACGAAGCAGTCAATCGACTGTCCCAGTGCCAGAAGTGGCGAGAGGCATTCGATAAAGATATCCGTGTCCAAATGGTTGTTTCACAGAACATCCACTTCTACATCTATGAACCCGTGCAACTCTTCTCGAATCGTCTGGTTGTTCCTGTGTTTTTCTTTCAAGAGAATGGAGAAACCATGTCTAAATGCCTCAGCGCTTTGGTTCGACCACATCCAACACCAAGTACGACGAACAGCAGCCACCATATCAGCATCCCTCCAGAGCCTGCCTTTGACTCTACTGACCTGATCACGATCCCGGTCAAGGAATTCTGGAAGACGTTCTCCGAGATAACGCTATTTGACTCATCTATTCCTCTTAAAGATACATGCAGTGTTCTGTACCGTGAGTTTCCATCATGATTATCTTATGTTGGACTAATGGATCCAATGAGTTGACACTTATGTTACTCGATTTGTGACAGAGCAAGACGGTCATAATCATCATGAATTACCAATCATCAACCCTTGGCGTGAAAGAGCTCAAGGTCATGTAATCAAACATGTTCCGGTCACGATGTACTCAGACGATACTTCAGGAAATGTTTCCAAAAAGTGGAACAAACACATGAGCATTTTCTTCACGCTTGCAGGACTCCCGCCCAACATGACCAATGAGGAGTTCAACATTCATTTTGTGGCTACTTCAAATGTTGCCTCAGCGCTCGAATTATTTGACGAGGTGGTGGACGACGTAAAGTAAGTAGCTCTCACTTTAAAATATTTCATGATTTGTTGTTGTTTGGAATTAACGTTCCCACCGGTTTTCTTGGCCACAGTGAACACTCAGCCAACGGTTTCCTCACTTACGACCACGTCACCGGCAATGACGTTCTTGTCATGGTGGTCGTTTTGTTCCACCTCGCGGATTCACCTATGCACGCTGAAATAAGTAAAACAACCAACCCCGCTAACACGTTGACCCCATGTCGCATCTGCGAGCTACATGTGACCCGGATGATTGAGAAGAAGTCTCACCAGTACGTGTCAGAGTTCATTGGAATAACAGTTGATGGAACCCAAGTAAGTGTCTTTCTGAAAATCCTCACCACATCTTTTCACTAAGTGCTTTAACTGTTTTTGCAGTATGATTTGCCGAAACGGGACTGGGAAAGGACTCGTCAGCGGACTGAGGAGATCTGGCAGACGGCGCAACTGCCAAACACACGAACCTTGGTTGAACAAAAAGTTCGCTCCACGGGCACGGTCGATTCTGTCAACACCTTTTTCATCAAGAAAGTTCAAATGGCCTATGATTTAAATGATGTTGGTCAGGTCAAGACACTTTGCGATGATCTAAACAACCAACTTGGCGCCCACCTCTTCAACCCAATGCTGAGACTTCGAGGTGAGTCTTGCATTTCAGTGTATTGCGAGTGAACCGCTGTGACCACGCTGACCCCTCCCGCAGGTTTCAATGGGCACCTGGATACCCCTGTGGAGACGCTTCATGTGATGCTACTCGGAATCGTCAAGTATCTGTTCCGAGACACGATGAAATCTTTGGGTGTGAAGCTTGGCAGCAAATTATACCGTGAAATTTCTGCGCGCTGGAGAGCCTGCAATCTGAAGGGTTTGAATATCCCCGCCATCCAAACAAATACTCTGATCCAATACTATCAAAGCCTGGTAGGCAAAGACTTCCAAACAGTGCTTCAGACTATACCTTTTGTTCTTTTCGATTATCTCACCCCCGGCCGGCGACACCTCTGGACATCTTTGTGTCTGCTTGGCTCTTATGTTTTTCAAAGCAAAATCAACGACACGGCCGAATATTTACAAGACATGGATGCAACACTGCGCATTTTTTACCATCAAATGGTTAAGGATACAGCGCAATGGGTGAATAAACCCAAATTCCACATGCTGACCCATTTGAAGGATTCCATTAGGAGGTTTGGTCCGAGCAGCTTATTTGCGACACAGAAGTTTGAAAGCTACAACGGAGTTTTGCGGACAGCTTCCGTCCATTCCAACCGGATGAGTCCTGGCCGTGACATAGCCAACACTTTCAACACCTACCAAATGATGCGAGCGCTCCTATCTGGAAACTCTTTTTATGACAAGGACCTCCAAGAACGGTGCATTGCCGGCGGAAAAGTGCGGCGGTTACTTAAGGAGCTGCCTGAATTAGCCCACGCCATGGGGCTGGACCCGAAGAAGCACTCTTCTACGGTTTTCACCGAAGGATGTAAGTCGCAAAGCTGTCCTCGCGAATGTTCCCTTTTCTGACGCTTGGGTTATTTTAGCGCGGGTCCAGGAAGTCTCAGATCCACCGGCCTACTTGGTGAACGAAGGTGCTGACCTTACGTGGCAGCAAGTAGTGAGTATCACCCTACCGAACAGACAGAAGGTCGAGAGGGAAGATTTTGTCAAAGTACGTGTGTTCTGATCCTTAACACAGGCGTTTGAACCAACCCTTTCCTTTCGTCACAGCTCGCTGAAGGCAATGAAGTGGCACAAGTGCTCGCGATGTGGAAAGCAGATGGAGTTTCGGCCTCAAGGGCCATGGTTCACATTCGAGACATCCAGAAAACCACAGTCAATTCATATTACGGCATGCGAAATTTAATCGGCACCAACATAACCCGATGGATCAAGGTCTCGGTAAGTCCTCCAAAATTCCTTCCAAAGATAAAGCCCCCTGACTTTCTCTTCGGTCCCCTCGCAGAAAATTCACGCCATTTTGAACGTCCAACATAACTGTCATGACGCGGCGTGCCAAGTGGTCGACGGACAACCCCAGCGCGTGGAGAGACGAGACACCGCCATGACTGTCAGCCGCGTACAACACAACCCCACCGATTGTTTCATCTTGAATAGCGCGAGCCACTATTCGGCCGAACTCCATCGAGCTTGTGCGGATTTGGGGACAACTGAGATTTCACCGGCGGAATGGTTGGATGCATTCCGCCAAGGGTTGCATACATGGGAAACTGCCCCAGTGAAACCACGACAACCCAGAAAGAGCAAAGGTAAAAAGAAAAATGGGAACAAAAGACATGCTCCGGACCGTGACGATGACGGCAGCGGAGAGGACACCGATGAAGCAGATACTGAATAATTAGGTACCGGCAATTAAATGTAATTGAACCTCGTGTTCTTCTGATCCTTGTGCAACGAGAAGTGAGAGAAGTTTCAAACAACGTGCTCGCATTACTCTGAGATCACTCAATGGCAAGATGTGAGGAAAGGTCATGAGACCATGTTTGCCCCTGGCCACCGGCGGACGCGCGACGCGACGATGAGCTGGCCAATCAGCGAGGACGAAGGCCGCTGATTGGCTGAACACACGCGCTTGGGCTCGTTCCAGAAAAGGAAACTGTCAAATCAACACGACATGTCGATTTGAGAACGCGCCTTCCAAGCCCCTGGATTGAAATGTGAGGTTCGCCACCAGGACTTGAAATACCAGGGACTTTGCCAAACATCCCAGCTTCCCAGATGCCAAATTTACAAACTCCACAACCTTGGTCTGCTTAAACTTTTCAAAGTATCACCCACCCCACTCGTTATGTCTTCTCAAAACTCACTTCAAGCTCCTTATCGCCTCTCCGCTCCCAGGGGAATGAGTCAGTGCCGCCGTGCTTTTAGTCACTATGTCTATTTCGTTCCTGACTTTTTACCGAAACGCGCTCGCAGGTGGTCTCTTCAACAATAATGACAGCCCCACCTTAGGAACATCTGCTGGAGCTCGAGCCGAAGCTCGATCCTTGCGTGGCTCGGGCCAACTCAACCAGAGTCCAACACCTGGTATGTACCACTTGGTTTCCTATCTGTGACCGCTCCTGACTCATGGTTTTAGTCCCTCAAGTCCTCCAGAGGAGTTCAATGTCTA